CCCCCCCCCCCCCGGTATCTTCACCCAAATGGTGAAAGGGAGGAAATTCTCTCAACGCGCTTCCCTTCTCCGCCACCGACACACACGAAGCTGAAAGTCCGCCCCAAGGAACTGCTTCCTCCGGCCGGCTAGCATCCCGGAGAAGAACAGGTTTGCGAGCCCTGAATCCCGAAAAGAGCAGGAAGAGGCACGAAGGCCTCTAACCGGTCACGGCTGAGAAAGAAATCTGCGTCTCCCCCACAGCGAACCCCGGAGAGGAATTGCCAGCCCCTCACCTCCACCATGGTGCCAGTCTGCCGTCTCGGCTACCCCCGGCGCAGCCACACGCTCTCGATGGAGCCGCTACGACCCAACGCCACAACCAGGTCCGTTACCGACAAGAAGCCACTTCCGGCGCCTCTCCTCCGCCGCATCGGAAGTGACGTTTCCTTTGAAGGGCGCATGAGTGAGACAAGCTGGCTGGATAAAGGGGGTTGAAAGTAGGCTTCCGTTTTGGGTTGGTGCCTTGAGATTACCGAGGGAACTGGCTAATTGGGCCGCGGTTCTTAGCACACGACCCTGGGAGTTGCTCCCATTGAATTAAGCGGGGATTTTTGTTGTTATTGTTCAGTCGCACAGTCGAGTCCGACTTTTCGCGACCCTATGGACCACATCACGCCAGGCCCTCCTGTTTTCCGTCGTGGGAAAAGGGTAAAAGTCGGATCCACATGGATCCTCATGAATTCATATGATTTTTACATTGAAACGAAATAAAACCCCATCATATTGTAGGCCATTTGTTAGTCTATAGGGGGTACCACAAAAATCACGCATCCAGATTTGTGGCACCACAACAGCACAAAAACATGATTACAAAGCACAGATCCTCATGAATTGATTTGATTTTTACGATGAAATGAAATAAAACCAACATCATACTGTAGACCATGTCTTATAGGCAGCACTCCAAAAATCATGCCCCCATGAATTTGTGGCACCACAAAACTGGAAAAACATGGTTCCAAAGCACGGATCCTCGTGGATCCTCAGGGTTTTTCAACTGGGTCACCCGAAACACACCATCAAATCACATGACATGTCCACAGCCACAGCTTGCACTACAAAAATCATAGATCCACGGCTTTGTGGTGACACCAACATGATTCTGAAGCATGTTTGGGTTTTTTGTGTTGGGACACCCCAAACATACCATTAAATCCCATATCATGTCCACAGCCTGCATCACAGAAATCACAGTGCCACGGCTCTGGCAACACCATGCTGCAAAAACATGGTTCCGAAGCACGGATCCTCATGCATCCTTATGATTTTTGCATTGGGTCACCCCAACATCACCATCAAATAATATGCCTTGTCCATGGCCACAGGATGCACCACAGAAATCATATGTCCACAGCTTCATGGCAACACCATGGGGCCAAAAAAATGGTTCTGAAGCCATGTATGCATGACTTCTGCAGTGCAAGCTGTGCCCATGGACATGATATGTAATTTGATGCTGAGTTCATGGTGACCCAACGTAGAAACACCAAGGATCCATGAGGATCCATGCTTCAGAACCATGTTTTTCAAGCATGGTGTTGCAACAAAGCCATGATTTTTGTGCTACTAGTTGTTGCCATGGACATGTTATGTGATTTGATGTTGTGTTTGGGGTGACCCAATGCAAAAAATCTAAGGATCCATGAGGATCTGTGCTTCAGAACCATTTTGTGCTGCATGATGTTGCCACGGAGCTGTGGATCCATGACTTTTGTGGTGCAAGCTGTGCCCATGCACATGATATGTGATTTGATGGTGACTTCATGGTGACTCAATGCAAAAACCTTGAGGATCCATTAGGATCCATGCTGGGGAACCATGTTTTTGCAGCATGGTGTTGCCACGAAGCTGGGGACCCATGAATACTCTGGTGCAAGTAGTGGCCATGGACTTAGTACGGGATTTAATGGTATGTTTGGGGTGTCCAAACACAAAAACCGCAAGCATCCATGAGGATCCATGCTCCAGATCAGAACCATGTTTCTGCAGCATGGTGTTGCCACAATGCCATGGAGATGTGATTTCTGTGGTGAATTCTGTGGCCATGGACATGATATAGGATTTTGTGGTATGTTTGGGGTGTCCAAACACAAAAACCGCAAGCATCCATGAGGATCCATGCTCCAGATCAGAACCATGTTTCTGCAGCATGGTGTTGCCACAATGCCATGGAGATGTGATTTCTGTGGTGAATTCTGTGGCCATGGACATGATATAGGATTTTGTGGTATGTTTGGGGTGTCCCAATACAAAAAAACCAAACATCCATAAGGATCAGTGCTTCAGACTCATATTTGTGCCAAATGGTGTCACCACGAAGCCGTGGATCTGTGATTTTTGTGGTGCAAGCGGTGGCCGTGTTATGTGATTTGATGGTGTTTTTGGGGTGACCCAATTGAAAAACCCTGAGGATCCATGAGGATCTGTGCTTTGGAACCATGTTTTTGCAGTTCTGTGGTGCCACGAATTTGTGGGGGCATGATTTTTGTAGTGCTTCTTATAATCTAAGACATGGTCTGCAGTATGATGTTGGTTTTATTTCATTTTAGCGTAGAAATCATATGAATTCATGAGGATCCGTGCTTTGGAATCATGTTTTTGGGCTGTTGTGGTGCCACGAATCTGTGGATGCGTGATTTTTGTGGTGCCCCTTGTAGACTAACACATGGCCTACAATATGATGGTTGTTTTATTTCATTTGAATGTAAAAAACATATGCATTCATGAGGATCCATGTAGATCTGACTTTTACCTTTTTCCATTAGGGACCTTCCAGTCCTCAGGAATCCACAGGTTTCTTACTTACCCCTGAACCCTCCTCGAGAGGAACCACCTCATGATCTTTGTGCTCCTTGGCTATGCAGCAGAGCGTGCAGAGGGGGGCTCCGTCCTCCTGGCAGAAAAACCTCAGGGGCTCCTGGTGCTTCTCGCAGGCTTTCCCCCTCTCCCCCGTCTCCTTCTCCTCCTGGAGGGCGAATCTCTTGGCGATTTCCACGAAGTTGGCCAGCTGCCGGTTCGGCAGGAGTTTCCTCTTCTGAGCTCTGCCTCGGCACTGGGGGCAGAAACGCCTGGCCCCCGACGCCCCCCAGCTGCGGGTCAGGCAGGCCCGGCAGAAGTTGTGGCCGCACTCGGGGATCGTGACGGGGTCCCTGAAGAACTCCAGGCAGATGGAGCAAGAGGCCTCCTCGCAGAGCTCCTGCACGGGACCCTCAGCCGCCATGGCTGGCGCAGGGAAGGGAGAGCAGAGGTTAGTTTCGTTTTCTCACTTTTGAATCACATGACGTCGAATCGACGGCCTGGCAGCAGAGCTACGGAAAGCGCCTTGGGGTGGAAATGCCGCCATCAATTGCATCCCGATGCTTTGCTGGGCTCCGCGTCGCGACCCTGGTATTATGGTTGTCGAAGGCTTTCAGGGCCGGAGTTCATTAGTTGCTGTAGGTTTTCCGGGTTGTGTGGCCGTGGTCTTGGCACTGTAGAGCCTGACGTTTCGCCAGTAGCTGTGACTGGCACCCTCAGATGATCCATCTTTCTGTGTTTATACCTCTGAGGATGCCAGTCACAGCTACTGGCGAAACGGCAGGCTCTACAGTGCCAAGACCACGGCCACACAACCCGGAAAATCTACAGCAACTACTGACCCTGGTATTCCTTGGAGGTCTCCCATCCAAATAC